CGCGCGGATGCAAGGTGGCTCGCCTTGGGCGTTTGCGAGAACAGCTTGCGGGGAGCGACACGTCCCGGATCATTGCGACTAACGCCAGTGGGGGCGAACGGTGCGCGACGTTGCCCTCAATGCCTGAGCAACCTCGTCTCTGCCGCCGACCCACGCGTCGAGGAACGCACCATCGCCGAACTCCACTTCGAAGGAGATTCTTCGTGTGAGTGTACGCGGACGGGCAAAGCGTGGTTTCGGCGCGGCACGTGTGCGTCATCGAGATTGATGTGTGCTGCGAGTGCACGCATACGAGTCCTCGCAGTTCGCCAACACGCACGAAACCGCTCGCAGGAGAAACAATGATGGGCATGCGGGGAACATGCCGGGCGCTCACCGGCCGGGGGAGGACGTCAGCACCCAAATGCAAGATTGCGTCGGCACTGGGATGGACGTAACGTGCAACACGCCGCAGGTGCTGATCAACGCTTCGTCGCCCGCTTGTATAGTATCGGCACGGTTCCGTGGGCACTGCAGGCATGCAGCGTCGACAAGCTCGAGTTGAAGCCGACACTCGACAATGCTGTCGGCCAGGGAGCGCACAAGCAGCTTGACCACGCTGACATCGTTGATGTCTGATGGCATGAACTTGCGTTTCTGATCGGGCTCGATCGTCCTGTCAACGTGATGCAGGATGATGGCAAATCAGGTCTTCTCGTGGACGCGTCGTCACCCGCGGAGGCGACGGCGGCGATCGCCCTGCTGATTTCTCCCTTTTTTTTCTGGGGGACGTCAATGGTGGCGATGAAGAGTCTGGGGGAGTCGCTGTCGCCCTTTCTCGTGGGATCCTTTCGGCTCATCCCTGCAGGCATGCTCGTCGTCGCGTTCGCAGCGTCCCAGGGCCGCAAAATGCCGGAAAGCTTCCAGGCTTGGCGAGCAGTGCTGCTCTTTGGTCTGGTGGACGCTGCTGCCTTCCAAGGATGCCTCGCTGAAGGCCTACTGCGCACAACTGCGGGGCTGGGATCGGTCATAATCGACTCGCAGCCCCTCACTGTGGCGGTGCTTGCATCCGTTTTCCTTGGTGAGCGCCTCGGCGTGCGAGGCGGGCTTGGGCTGCTGTCGGGCGTTGCGGGGCTGCTGCTGCTTGAGGTGCGAAATCCAACTCCGCCGCACAGTTGAATTCGTGGCGTCCGTGATGCTCGCGCTGACTGACTGCGGCAGTGCCCCGAGGTCAATGGCGGTACGCCCCTGGTGGTCGAGCCCACGAACGCAGGTACCTGAAGGACTTGTTGAAAAGCTTCTTACTGGCAACACTTCCGTGCTCGACCTGCCTCAAGCCTTGCCTTGGCTGTCAAGCGAATCCTTGCTCCAGGGTGACGACGCGGCGCGTGCAGTGGAAGCATTTCATCCCACAGAGAGCGGGGAGCTGTGGATGTTGCTTGCCGCACAAGCGATGGCTGTTGGGACAGTGATGGTTCCTTGGGTGTCGCGCTTTGTTGACCCGGTACAGGCAACAGGCTGGCACATGATCCTGGGCGGCATTCCGCTTTTGTGTCTTGCCGTTATGGATCTGGGATGGGATGGGGTTCTGGGCCAAATCGAAACCCTTTCAGCATCGGACTGGGCCGTCATGCTCTACGTATCCGCGCTCGGCGGCGCCGCAGGTTATGGTGTGTTTTTCTACAATGCCAGCAAAGGCAACCTGACGACGCTCTCGTCGTTGACGTTTTTGACACCCGTGTTCGCTGCTGGTGCGGGTTTCCTCCTCTTGGGCGAGACGCTCAACGCGATGCAAATCCTTGGCGCGACCGTCACCCTCGGAGCTGTGTATTTCATAAACTCGCGAGACACAGATGAAAAGGCCTAGCATCAATTAGTTCATGCAAAGGCGCTTTGAGATGTGACTGTCGTTGTCGTGCCTCTCATGTGCACGCGAATATTTTCTAGTCCCTCGACATCCAGCGAGCCCGCATCTGTAGCGCCCGATGTGTCGCCGCCCTCAGCGCATCTTTCACCTCGAGGTGCTGACAGGTGTCGGCCTCTGCACTTCACTTTCTCTCTCGTGCTCGCGGGCGATTCGCCGATGTGGCTGCCCTCGGCAGCCTCCTTTGCCCAGGTGAAGACGGCCCTCACGTTACGTCGTACTAGAACTCCACAACATCGTCTATTTGGGGCATCACGGGTACTCCACCGCGTCGTTGCTCTCGGCCACCCCTTTCCTGGTTAATGTAATGAACTTTCAGTCTGACAAATGTGTCAAAACTGGAGGTCACAATTTGCGCCCGCCACGCCAGAAGGTGTTCACGACCTCGTTGTCCGCGAAGTTGCGCGCCTTGACGCGGCCCGCGCACCCGCGAACCACGCGTACCCCGTCGACCGCACCCGACACGCGCCGTCGTACCACGCCCCCGCGCTGGCAGCGTGGCTTTCAGCGATCTCCCCGTGAACGATTACGGCTAATACACCCCCTCCCCCCCCAAACCCGACCCCCCCCCGCCCTCCACTCCCCCTCCCTCCCTCCCCCTCCCTTCCCTCCCCCAACCCCCTTCCTGGGGCCGTGCGGGTGTTCCGCGGCCCTGGAGCCCCATGACAACGTCATCGTCATGTTAACGATCACACGCACGAGCTTCCTGGGCACTGCACCCCCACCCCTGACAACCACCACGCGGATCCGCTGCTCAACGTGTGCTTCCAGGAGCGGCCCGAGTAGCGGGTGACGTGAGGGGCTGTCACCTGACATGCGTGATGTCATGCGTGCTGTCTTGCTGGGCAGGGTCGCCGGCCGACGACATCGGGACGCGTGGTGGGGCTTGCCGACGAGTACCCGCACGCCCGCGGGGCTCGTCACTCATCGAAGACTTCACTCGAGCTGCGTGCGCAGGTGATTGGGACCCCGACACTTGTTGCTGCAGCTTGCTCATCCTGCGTGCGGGTACTCCACCACGTCGTTGCTCGGCCACCCTTTTTCTTGGTTAACGTGACCTCCGGTGTGACACGTTTGTCACACTGCATGTTCAATACAATAACCAAGGAAAGGAATGTGACACGTTTGTCACACGGCAACTGTTGGACAGCGCCGCCGCTTCGCTCTCAACCGCCGGCTACGCCAGTACCTCGAGGACCTGCACGGCGCTGCAACACTCGTCTCGGAAGCCGCTGCCAACGCTGCAGTGCGTTATCTTCTGAACCTGCCGAATCAGCGAGGCATGGCGATCTTCGCTCGTGGCATCGAGGATCTGCTTCAGGCTGACTCTGTCACAGCTGCCGAACCTGTCGCTACCATAACGGTGGGGGGTTAGCATGACTCGCCACCTAGTCGAGTGATCTTTTCAGGTCCCCAAGCCTTGTGGTTGACGACGCGAAGAATGTGACACCTCACCTCCTCACCGACGCGTGATGGGGCTTGGCGACGAGTACCCGCACGCCCGCGGGGCTCGTCACTGATCGAGGACTTCACTCAAGCTGCGTGTGCAGGTGCTGGGACCCCGACATCTGTTGCCGCCGCCTGCTCATCTTGCGTGCGGGTACTCCACCGCGTCGTTGCTCTCGGCCACCCCTTTCCTTGGTTATTGTGACCTCCGAGGTCACAAACCGGAGTCCGGTTTGACACGTTTGTCAGACTGAAAGTTCATTACAAACAAATCCATCCTGCCATCGGACGCGCAGCAGCATCGTTTCCGTTCATGATGTTCTGCCAGGACGAGCAGGGACGTTCTGATCGGAGCACATGCAGTACCGTTCACAGATTTGGGCCGGAAGCCCCAAGCCAACTGGGTGTCTTCACAGGCGTACCTGGTACATGTGCCCGCATGCGCCCAAACAGCCTGAAGAAAGTTTCAATCTGCTCAGTGACTCCGCCCGTGACCGTCCGACTGGGCGGCCACAACCATCTCGGACGACTCGTCCCGGACGAGCCTCGTCACGAGCCAGTGGTAAAGGTGCCTGAGACAAGCCCAGCCCCCCGGGGCCCTGGCGACAGGGTTCTCCCTTGAGCCCCCCTACCCGTACGACATATCCTACGCTACCGAGTTTCTCAGAGGTCGTGGGATACTCACAGTGGGCCCGAGCCTCGCTCGCAGCGGCCTTCGGCCGCTGCTCGCGAAGCTTGCACCTCCCCCCCCTCCTCCTCGGCCTGAGCGGCCTCCTCCACCGCGTCAGCCTCCGGCTGCTGCTCCCCGCCTTCCTCCATGACGTCCCCCGACACGTCCACGCCCAGCGCCTCGTCGTCCTCGTCCGGGACCTGGTCGCGCTTGAGGATGCAATTGTTGCTAACAGCCGCTGAAGAACCTTCTCCGCCCCGCTCAGTTTGGCCTGGGCGCCCCGGCGATGCCGCGACTTTGTTGCGCGCTGCTCGTACACCTTCTCGACTCGCGGCACGAACGACATGACGACGCCCCACAGAATCGACAGTTGACCGGGGATTGCGGTGCCTCCGCGACATCGTCTCCGTCTGGCCCGTCGATCACAAACTACCCACGGTCAGACAATTCGTCTGTATCGAGCAATCCCCCTCTTTTGCGCCTCTTGGCGGCGTTTTCCATCATTGCATTGATGGCAGGGGGGGGCGCGGTCCGACATTATCCCACGCTGCCTGGATCCTGGAGGACCGTGGGATAACGGGGGTGTCCTACGCTAGCAACTTTCCGCCGGGCCGTGGGATAGAAGTCATCCCACGCGGGGTAGGGGTGTCCCACGCGTGGGCTCTAAGGGAGAACCCTGCCTGGCGACGCCGTCCGACGGCGTCGACGCCGTCCGAGTCGGACGGCGGCCGTCGGACGGCCTGCTTAGGCCAGGGCGGGTCATTAGCCAACAATGGGCGTGGCACGATGCAAGCCGAGTGACGAACGCTCTATCAACGGAGGAGCCCCTCGAGCTTTCGACCGGGTTCCTAGCTCGAGGAGGAACCAATCATCCACTGATTCGGCGTTGCAAGTTCGATCGAGAGTGCCGATCGCTTGTCACATCGCGAGAATCGTGCCTGCACTCGCGACACGTGTTGTTCCGATCTGGCCGCGCTCAGAATGAACGATCACCCAGGTGTGCGGACGCAGGCTCCCCTCCCGGCCCCTGTAGTCCGCCGTATGATCCGGTACCCGTCTGCGTTGATGGACGCAGACGTTCCGCGCATTCGGGAGGTCGTCGCGTCGCGCCGTGATGCGGGCGCGACGTCCTTGCACTGTGGCCTCTCGTTCTCATGTCGATCATCACGATGCCCTACAGCAGCACTGCCTTGTGTGAGTGTCGCCAACGTATGCACAATGCTGCAGATTTGCCGGCAGGCGGTATCGACTGCGCTGTCGGGAAAGACACTGGAGCCTCTCCATTGCGTGGAGCCACTGCCTGGGTCAACGTAAGCGCTTCGGCGGCGGTGACAGCCAAGGCCACCGGGCATGAGGGCGAGCCTGATCGCTTTGTGGCACAGCAACGGGGGAGCCTTCCAGGTGATCGCCACAATCGGCTGTCGCGGGCATTCCCGGCACTGGCTGTTGCTGTCCGCGCATTTTATGATGCAGCATGCGTTGGGGGCCGCATGTCGGCGCATCCGTGCGACTTGTACCCCAAAACCTCGCTCGAAATATGAAACGTGTTGTCCCGCTCACCAGGCATCAGTCTTCCCTTGGACTGCGACGTCTGTCACCTTCACCTCATCGCACGGCCCGGGCCAGGCCAGGCAGGTTTCCAATCTGACCGGGCTCGTCTTACTGACTCGTGGCCAGGATGTGACGCAGGGGGATCCCGGGCCGTAGCGGTCGAGGCCTTGCATCATCATCATCATCCCTGCACCGAGAAGCTGGGGAGTCGAGGCCACGGCAGCGATGACGGTCGCGGCTCTCACTGCAGGGTAGGGAAAGGGCGGACAGCAGGCGACCACGAAGTGCGGGTCACGCCAGAACCCCTTGCTCGTGCAGCAGCAGACGAGGTAAGCCGGTTCGGACAAAATCTGCACGTCCCATGGGGCGTGTCGGCCAATTGGCACATAGCACCTTGTGGTCCGCGACGTCCCATTATGCAGGCGTACAAGGGCGTTCGACGTGACGGTCAGCGGAGCTTTTCGGCGTATGCCCACGTTGCAAATCAGCCAACCACGGTTGGGTCCTGCACGTCTTCTGAGGAAGCTGCTCGTGCCTATGACCAGCACATCGTACAAATGCGTGGTGACGAGATGGCGTTCGAGCACGGCCTAAACTTTCCGGACGATGTACCCCAGCAGTGCGAAGGTGCGGCTAGCCCTTGCCATCCTCACATGGTCTGATGATGATGAGAAACCCCCTCATGCGTCGTATTGAGTGCATCATGCGGGGTGAGGTACGCCCTGAGACCTTGACGCGGGTGCTGCACATATTGAGACGTCTTCTTGCTGTGGCTGAGCGCCCGGCTGCCTGGCGCCCCGAAATCAGCAGCGCAGACGTCGACCCGCCGGCACCCTGGCCGCGCGCGTTCGAGCGAGAAGCGACCCGGCCCCTGCAACGTTTCCGCTGAAGATCTCGCACAAACCACTCACACCCCGCGCGTATCTCTCATACGGCTGCAGTGATCGTCAACGCATCGTCGGATCTCACAGGAAGGGCACTTTCCAGCGATCCGATTGCTACTGTCCCTTCCGGACTCGGTCCTCTTCTTGGCACAGCACGCAAGTACCAGGGGCGAGGTAACCTCGCGACCTACAGAGAGGCACTTGGAAGGCTCTACATGGAAGCTGAGACCGCCATCCACGGCAGCGTTCAGAGCCGTACTAACGCGCGGGCTGCTGGAGACCTGAGACCTGCAACAACCAAGCGCAACAGCAGTGCCGATGACCCCGTTGGCTTCCACGAGGCCTCGAAACGTCGGCGCTACGCACACATGTGCGTTCCAAACTCGTCGGATGCCGACGCGGGCGCCCAAACCTGCGGGCCTCCAGCACTGGGGGGTCACAGAAAACTCGAAACGCTGTCGGCCGAGGATCGTCGGGCGCTGATTCGAGTCCTGGATGTCCTTGACAGAGAAGGACGGAGGGACCACAGCTCTGTTCTACGTGGGGGGAGCTCTGTTCTACGTCACGGGACGGTTACAGGCCTGGCTGCTGCACTCACCGGCGAACTGGAAACACAGACAGATGGCTGTGCGACTGCGAACAGCGCCGACGGCGGGCCAGCTTTGCCTGCTTTGATAGGCAAACGCTGCGGTCAAGAAACCCTTGAGGAGACCTGTCCACACCCGTCACCAGGTTCACAGCAAGCGCAGGCAGCAGATGCCTTGCTGGCTGCTATGGGCCTATTGCCTTCGGGTCACGATGCCCAAGGGCATTGGGGCTTGAGTGAAAGGAGATTCAAAGGAGTGCGACAACACAGCGACACTCGTTTCACGGCTTACATGTATGACGGCGGCAGACAGCAGATTATCGGCAATTTCAAGACTGCGGCAGCAGCCGCGCGCGCGTACGATAAGCAGCTGATTGAGGCGAAAGGGCTCGAAGAGGCTCTGCGTCGGGGCATCAACTTCCCCGAGGTTTTCGTTGGGTACGTCGAAGAAATTCTGCAGCGAACTGCTCACGGGGTTGTTGCGGGGAACGCAAAAGCCAGGTCTCGACCTGAGGCCGGATGTCGCATTCTAGACGAGGCCAGCAAAACTCTCACCGGGCCGCAACGCAGCGCGGCGACCGTGGCTGCAACTCAGGTGCTGTTGGATGTGGGTGGGGCTCTTTGCGGACGTCTGGATATCGATTCCTCGGACGTTCCCCGGGGTCCGAACGTCCGTCGTAAACGTCCAAGCTGCGATGATGTCAGCCACGGTCCTGTACCGAGGGTTTCGAGTGCGGGAATTGCATCGCAAGGCACTAACATCATTACAAGGAGAGATCACGACGTGACCTACGTGGCGCAGGTCGCAGCAGCAGCAGGGCCGCGCGGAGAATCGCAGGCAGGGGGCGTTGAAGGCGCAGCAGGACACATCCTTGTGGACGGCATGCCAAGAGAGCATCAGGTTTCCATCTTGGCTTCCGGCCATCGCTACCACGTCGAGACAAACGCATCTTTCGAGGAAGCTTCGCTGGCGCAGCGGACAACGGGGCATAGTCTGCGGCAGCTGATAGGCGACCCCCGCGCCATCACAGGGCAGTCAACAATGGCACAGCCGTTCACTGATGCGTTGGGCGGCGCAAGGTTGATGTTCGCTGTTCACGACCCTGCCGGCCACGACGTGCGCCACAGCCCAGCGATCTTGCCGTTGGTGCAGCATGGGGCGCAGCTCACCTGGCAGCATCTGCCGCCCACTCCACGCCCTGAGCCTTGATCCTGCGAGGCGGGCGGCCCAACACCTCGGTCCCTGGAATGGAGAACGCACGTGAATTTTTGACCAGTGCTCGCGCGAGGTCGGGGCGTGCCTTCGCAGTCCCCACGAGCGAGCAGGCGACGGCACATCGGCAGCACCCTCGGGCGCCGGCACTACTGCTAGAAAGCCTGGCGGCCCGTGCTACAATCCCCATGCAAGGTGGCGTGCCACCTGCTTCGCTCGTGCGTTTTCGCGAACCTGATCGACATGCACATGAGCTCGCGTAGAAGCACCTGTGGCAGGGTGCCGGGAGGGGAGGCCCGGCAAGATTCTGCCAGATGCAGGCGGTATCGATGGTGTTGCCCGTCTCGACAACTGCCCCGGGCGGCAGCAGCACTACCACCACTGACGACTGCCACACAACGTAGGCGCCGCGTTGCCGCGTTGGGACGCCATCACTTCTGCCTGGCCCCCGCGCACGCAGCTGTGTTGTGCGGGGGCGAGCAATATCGCCGCTAGCTCATGACAGTGCGTCGCATCGCTACCTTCGTTCGTCGGTCGGCGTGTCTCTTCATGGGGATGGCTCCACCTTGCGTAGCCTCTGCCAGCCTCGCGAAGGATTGTCACCATACGTCGACACTGCACACATTTTTTCTCGACCTCCTCAGCGACTGGGTTGATTGTGAAGGCGGCGGCAGCTCAACCTCGAGCTCATGGTGATGGAAAGAATCACGCGACAGCTTAGCTCTTTCCATCTCGCAACGGCTGCTCAGGTGCTAGCCCCTGCATGCTTGGCTTTGCGTAGCACGCATAGGTCGTGAGAAGAGTCCTGTTAATCGAGCTTCAGACCTTGCGGCAAGAAACACACTAGGACCAGTGCAGGCATGTAGATCAATTGCAGCAACGGGAGCATTCGCAAACTGATCGAAACACGCGACGGACGAGGCGCGCGAGGCCTTAGAGGTCCTCGAACGAGCGACACACGCGTTCGCCTCACAGGCAACTGCACTGCACACCAGCTGCCGATCAATGACATCGAAGCGCACACGCGCGACTGAGGTGCTGGAAACTCAGAAACTCTCGGCCGTGACGAGCGAGTTTTTCGTGATGGTTATTGACCAGGTTCGTCTTCGTCAGCGCCACTGTAAATGCTGTTAGCTTGAAGGAAGGAGGCGGTTGCAACTGCTACAGCGAACGGTTCTGGATCGAGTTGGCTACAGTGTGTAGCAGACACCAGAAACGATGAAGCAGGGCGTTGTCGAGCTGGAGCATGCCGAGCATCATCAAAAAGAAATCTCGAAATTGGCTCATCGTCGGCTGCTTGATTATCGCGTTCCGCCTCGTCATCTACACGCGTAAGCTCTTGTAGTGCGATCGGAACTCACACATCCGCTAGGTGTGCGCCGCAGAACTGTTGACACATGTGTGGCACAATGGTCCGCGAAAACCGGCCATCGTCGGAAGAAATCGTCCCGGACACTCCACCAGCCCCCGTCCAGCGCCGGTGCGCCGTCGGCGCCAGTTGCCGGTCACGGTGATCATCATCACACTGTCAGGGACAGGGGACGACTGATGCGGCTCCGAGTCGGTCCGACGGTCGCCGTTGCTGACATTCGACGGCGTCGGGAGACTGCCTTCGGACTCACAAGTACTCTGGGTGGGTTGGGGGGGTGGCGGCGCTACCCCTCGACCCCATCCACCCTTCAAATCATGGGTCCGAGGGGGGTCGCCGGCACCCCTCGGCCCCATCCACCCACTCGATATTTGGCATGGCCCCGAGGGGCCATCTTTCCCGGCAAAGTGTGCCGAGCAACAACATCCTGGACCTGGACCAGCTCCTATCGGGCTTTCCGGCACGCCAAGGGTCGCCGACACCGTGGTAGATGAGCATCGGCGTTGCATTTCGGTCACAGCGCGCATGTCCAGGGGCCATGCCCCAACATTTGCGCTGTGACACATGTCATGTTGTACATGTCCGTTGCCTCGAGTGCGAGACGGGTCTGTTGAGCCCCTCGGTCGACTCCCTTCAAAGTTTCATAGGGTCACGCGCGCAACACCCCCGAATCTGCAGCGGGCATCGGCCAAAGGAGCTTCTGCATCTTCTGGCCTTTGACGACGCTTTCTTGCTGTCGCTCCTTGGCGATGGCTGCAGGATCTCGTCAGCATGCTCGGGCGCAATGTGACGGCCGCCGTCGGGGTCGATACATCGCGGAAGACTGTCGTTTGACGTTGACATCATGCCCACATGGGGTGGAGCCAGCACCCGTCGACCCCATGCACCCTTCAGCGCGCGATGGTGATGCCGGGGGGGGGGGCAAGCTGGCGCTGGGACCCCTCGACCCCATCCATCCAAATCTGCCCACCCCCAACCCACCCAGAGTACTTGTGAGTCCGAAGGCAGACAGTCTCTCGGACGGCCGGGTGACCCCCGGGGTCTGGGACGACGTCCCTGGCTTCAAGGGCTTCCTGCGACCGCCTTGCTGGTAACACGCGCAGACCACATCGACATGCTCAGCAGCATTTAGCTGCAACAGGCGTTGACCTGGGCCGGGCGTCTGTCACGGGCGAAATCCTCGTCGAACCCTGTTTTGCGTCGATCCTGGCCGCATTCACTGAGCGCATGCATCTGCGGATGGCGATAAACGAGGACGGTCTCAAGAAGCTCAGCTTCTGCCGCAGAAGCTCAGCTCAGCTGAGCACTGCCGGGCAGTGCCGCAGTGCGTAGGTACGACTGGGTGCTGGCTGTGCCGACGGGATTCTCCGACCGCACCAAGAGCCTGCGGTCTTTCTTTGCGACGCTCCCATCTGATGTGGACGTCTTGCTCTTCAGAACCAAGGAATGCCTCGATGACCACTGTGTCGACGTTTTCGACTCTCGGACGTACTCGCGGCGCGAGGGACACCGCGAGGCACCAGCTTCGTGGAACGGGTGTCGCGCCCTTTCGCATTACAACGTCATCAATCAAGCGCGAATCGGGCTCGCCCCCTGAGCGCGGCGCGCGGGCTCCCGACCCCCCTCCGCGGGAGCGGGTGCGGCGCTTCACCCCCCGCCGCGGCTTCCGAGTCACTCGGAAGGTTCCGGCGGAACCTCCAGGCCGTCCGCGGACCGCGGCGTGCACATCGGTCGCGCGCTTCAGCATCTTGTTCCAGAAGCGGGCGGCTTGCACCCAGGCCACGCAGTGCGGGCTGGAGTGGCCGGCCTCGCGGAGCACGAGCTCCCACGCGGTGTTCTTGCCCACGCCGAGTCCGGAGCGCACATAGTTGACGACCTCGCCGACAGGGCCGGAGTTCTCGGCCTTGAATCGCCTCGCAACGTTGATGAAGTCCGTCTTGACGCGGTCGAGCGCGAAGTTCGGGAAGTAGGGGCCCAGACGCCGTCTGACGGCCGTGCGTCGCCGCCCGCATGACCTGCTGAGCGAGGAAGACCGCCGTGGTGCCCGGGTGCGAGATGCTCCTGGCCGAGGTCTTCGCCCGCATCTCCCCTGCCTTCCGACGGGCCCGGGAGCCGACCATGGCGGCCTGGTACTGGCTTCCCGCGACGCGGTGGAACCAGCAGCCCAGGTTCTTCACCGAGTCGACCACCGGGAGGCGCTGGCGGTCCGCGCACGCCCTGGCCGTCGTGCGCGGAGCCGCGAGGCTTGGTACGTCCCTGCTTGTCGTTGATCACCATCACGTTGCACTTCTGCACTGAGAGGGACATCATGGCCACGGAGGGGACATCATGGCCGCGGTCACGCAGCCAGCGCGCCGCACAGTCCAGGAGCTGCTGGAGCTCCTCCTGTGAGCGCGCGAGGAGAAGAGAGTCATCCGCGTGCAGGATCATGCGAACGAGGGCGTCGCCGAGCTCCGCCCCGAGCGTGGGGCACTCCCTGTCGAGCTCCTCGTATAGCCCATCCAGGAACAGGCCGAAGAGCGGGTTCCTCGCCCCGCCCGGAAGCCGAGCTGGGCGGGTGAGCGGCGGCGCGCGGCCTCGACGAAGGCCTCGAGGCGCTTGCAGGACCTCCCTAAGGCGACGCGGAGGAAGGCCAGGGCCGGATAGATGGTGTGGCGAGTGGCTTGCAGGGGTTTAGTTCACCGCCCATCGGGGTAGGGACCGGTGCAGGGCACCGAGGGACGTGACGTGACTGGACAGGTGCTGGGGCCATGTCCAGTGCATGGGCTGTGAGTCCGTGGAGGTGAAAATGAAGCCCTTCAGGCTGTAGTTCGCTGCGAAGCGTTTGATGAAGGCTGTCGAGGCGGAGTTTGGTAGGCGGCCAGCCGCCCACGTAGCCTCCACCATCAGGCGACTTTGGACCCAGCGCACGAGGCCCTGGGCTCTCTGTTCAGTCGTGCCTGGTCGCGCGGTCTCGAGGATCGCGGCACCCGGGGTACTCAGTACTACTGAGGGCGACAGAGTAGAAGTAGGAGTACAGAGAGGTGACGGTTTCAGCGTGGAGGAACTGCCAGCCTCTAAGTAGGGGGCGGGCCGCAAGGTCGGGATGGAAGCCCGTTATCACGTGGATCCAGTCCAGCTGGAACGTGTCAGGGACAATGTGTTTCTGTACAAGCTGTTGCCGCAGTATGTCCCACAGCCGTTGTGCCACGGGGCATGTGAAGCAGATGTGTTGTTCGTCCGGGTTGGGGGGACGCCGGACTGGGCCAAACAACACTTCCCCCCCCGCCGTTCGTCCCGCTGACGGACAGGGCGACGCATCCGCGCTGTGAACCGTGGTCCTCATGTCCGAGAGCCGGGCCGGGGCGGAAAAACGAGTCGCGGCAAGCGCTCTGCGTGGCGCGGCGGGGTGGCTCGACTGCTGGTTCACTGAAGAAGGGCCTGGCTCGAGTGAGTGCTGCTTCCTGCCTTCTCGAGTGCCTGGCGCATCGCGTGATCGCAGTTTTGCGACCCCTCGCGCACATCACACGAACGATTCTGTACTCAACATGTCAACCCGCGTGGTAATCCTGTTCCCGACCGCAGGTGTGTGCCGCAGCTGCCATTTTCAGGCTGGTAATCCCTGGAATCTCGCCTCGTGGCTTCTCGT